TATATATATATACTGCTCAAAACAATAAAGGGAACACAACATAGTTGAATGTCTTATTTTTGTGTTCCCTTTATTTTTTTGAGCAGTGTATATATATATATATATATATAGGGCTCTGAGGTAAAAGCCCAACCAATAACTCCTCTAACTGTGTATTAGTACAATGTCTCATGTTTCACTTTAGTTATTACCATATTGATCTACTTATTAGGTGGTGGCAGAGTGGACTTTGAGGACTTTGTGGACCTGATGGGTCCCAAGATGCTTGCTGAGACTGCAGACATGATTGGAGTCAAGGAGCTGAGAGATGCCTTCAAAGAGGTCTGCAACGACACACATTTTTAGGCAGACCACCCATTAAAATTGCCTTCCCCCACACTTTCACCTCTAATGTATTTATTTCTTTTCGTTCTTTTTACCTTATCCATTTTGTTTCCCAGTTTGATTCCGATGGCGATGGCCAGATCAGCCTTGAGGAACTAAGAGAAGCCATGAAGAAACTAATGGGAGAGCAGCTCCACCAGCGAGAGATCGACGAGATCCTGCGAGATGTAGATCTCAATGGGGACGGACAGCTGGACTTTGAAGGTGAGTTGTTAATAGTTTAGGTATGGAAGCTGACAAGAATAGGTTAGTGTAAAAAAACAAGAGGGAGTGCCTGCAGAGGCAAAGAGTTAAAGGTGATATTGTGTTTTTCTTAACAATTACAACATCTCTTGTCTGTCCCCAGAGTTTGTGCGAATGATGTCTCGCTGACTCTTCACCAAATGGGATTTTAATCTGGAGTTCAGGAGCAGGACCACTCCCGAACACACACTGCTTCTTTTCCTCATTAGGTTTAAATTAATTGTTCAAACTAGTCTTCCGCTTCCGATTTTTCATACCTGCCCTGCCCGGCCCCCTTGTCCTCATATGTCCCTTCTATGCTGAGGGTCCGCTGGTCTCCAGCAGCAGTGCGGACCCCTGGAGCCTTTTTGTCCCCAAGCATTACACCGTATTCAAACATTCATTCGACATTCATCCTTTCCTGAGGGCCAGGTCCCTGCTAGTGAAACATCACTCTGCTGTACTAAACACCAAATGGACCACACTGCACACTGTTAATGTTCCTGTGAATGTTTTTGATATATGTGTTTTTTCACTTAGTTCTTTCCTGCAGATCCCTTTAGTACATTACAGTTGTATGAACGTAATATGATTGTAACATATAACATGACAAGAGAGATTATAGAGTGAGAACTTGGCAAGCAGATGGTTTAACCAAAGCTCTGGTCTGTTCAGATATTGTGTTAAATTTGAATAGCTTCCATATGTAAATTCACACAACACAACACTATATACAGTATATGTACAGTAGGTCAGTTCATCCTAATTTGGAAAACATAAATATTCTCAATACTCCATGTACCATAATTCTTTGGGGTACAGTTACTGTTTCTAAGATTTCTGTCTCTGCCAGAGATAAATACCCTGCTTGAAAAAAAACAGTGTAAAAAACACAGTCAAATAGGCTATATTCATATTACAGACCTTAGTGCTCAGTTTGATTTCTTTTATTTTTGTCAGCTCTAATCTTTTTGTATTTATGGTTCACATTCATGTTTGTGAGTGACAGCTACGTATATCTACTGTATCCAGCTCCGGTGTGAGCACCGTTAAGCTCCTAAACTACAAGGCATGTGCAGATTTAATTGAATGTGAGCCACATGTGAGCCAGAATAACTACTGGGTGGGCCACAGAAAAGTAGCTCAAAACAATACACTTGCTCAGGCTACTTTTCCGTGGCCCACCCTGTACAATAACGTCATGTGCTCAAAAACTGCTCAGTTACATGTTCCGTTCAGTTTGGCCTGATCAGAAGCTTCTCTATAACAGAAGTGACACATCCCCATCACTGTTGTTGCTGTCCTCTATGTTGATTTTTTACCTGTACATGTACAGTATGTGAGGAGCTGACACTGAATGACAGCAACAGGAGATATGCGCAGAGGAGTAATATATTTAAGAGATCAGATATGAATTGAATCTTGGACCACATATGTAAGTGGCCCAGATCTGATTTGAAAAAAATACTAATTAGTTTGTTCACACATCTGTGAAAAGATCAGATCTGAATCACTTGGAACATAAAGCATAAAGAAGCACTGCTCTACAGTGAATGAGCTTTTTCTCTCAGCTGGGTTTAGTTGTTTTTTATATAAATGTGTTTTTGTCAGATCTATTTTCTGTATAAATTATTGCAGTATTTGTATATGTAATAGGCTGAAAAAGTCATTTTTCAATATTTCAGTCTGCCTGTAAGTAAAGTTCAGTGTGATTGATTAAAATTTTAAAACAAACAGGCAATTATATAATCTCTTTCCTTTGAGTACCGTGATAGAGAGCAGCTTGCTGAACTGACTTTTCAGTAGTGTCAAAACAGAGACAGTGTCACTTGTCCCCGGACTTGTGAAGATTAAAAGTATGTGGCATTCCCTCCTTCCTATCTCCTTTGGTTTATTTCAAGGACAGGACTGTGGTCTCTTAGTGTTCCTGGTGTTGACGGTGCAGCACTGCTGCTAGAGAGCGGTCATTTGAAATAAAAATGTCTCATTTGCTCAATAAAATGTGAATACAAGGCACTAAAAAGAATATAAAATGCCTTGCCACTTCTAATTCTACCTTTGAGATCAGATGCCACTACCCCATTTACTTAATCTGCCATTCTTGTCATCTGTGGCCATGCTGAAGGCTGTTTATTTCTGATGACTAAGTAACCTTCTGCCTTCATAAAGGAGCTCCATTCCTCGCTGAAGCTCTTCACACTCTACATCCTCAGCTCAGGACCATACAGTTTGAATTCACTGACAGGAGCTTGATTCTACCAGGAGGAGGCACCACAGGCAAACATAAAACAGCAAAAGCAGTCATTTGTGTCACTGGTACACTCAGTTTATTGTCTCAAATGGATTAGCTTTCCCGGTACACTTCAAATAACAGTTAATATACCTTAGAGTATGGTGCATATGTTTATGTGGGAAAACATGGGACAGGGAATGACTGGCCATATGTTAAAATCTATTGAAACCACATGTGGCTGAGACTCTTTAATGTGTCTTTCTGAGGAGCAGTGTGTGCGCTCCCACACAGCACTACTAGGACCAAACTGAGAACTCAACACCTACCTGTGTGAGTGGGTGGGGTTGTAGACATTCTAGACAGATAGGCTGTGTGTGTGTGTGTGTGTGTGGGTGTGTGTGTGTGTGTGTGTGTGTGTGTGTGTAGGTGTGTGTGTATGTGTGTGGATTGAGGATTACATCTTCCACAGCCAGCTACGGTGGATCACCAGTGTTTTTGAGGACATATATGTCAGCTCCAAATTTAGCAAAAGTTATCTGACTTTTGGAGAGAGAAATGGTTTCTGACTCCTGAGTCTGACTCCTTTTTCAGTAGATTGAGGTATAAATTATTAGGTTTTGATTACTGATTGTGTTTATTTCCTAAATGGACTGCATGGCATTTACAGTGTATAGCACATTTATTAAATGGGCTTTACATGTAGTCTTTTATTCACCAAACAACCAGTTACCTTGTAAGGCACTGGCCTGACCATCTGAACAATTTGGGGCTCAGTTTCTTGCTCAGAGTCATTTACAATATACTGTACATGCAGACAGGAGAAGCAGGAGATCAGTCCATGAACTTCTCTACCTGCTGAAGCAAAGCCACCTCTAGACCTGTAGTCGAATGCCACATGCACAGCTTCACTCATTATGACATAAAAAGAGGGTGGATTTCATTAAACCCATTTGAAGATGAATAGCAGTCAGTCAATTCCCTGGCTGATGGCTCACAGATGTGTTGATATGTTGGATTTTTTTTTTTTATCTGCATGGGAACCAAATCAAAGGTACAACTGGAAGTAGAAAGTGGATGACAGGAGTCTTGTAAAATATTTAGGCTTTTTAGACAAAAATTGTAATTAGGGTTTATATTGGTATATAATTTGCAGTATAGTACTGTAACATGTTGGTTTGTTTTTTCAACTTGTTCCCTAAATCATTTTATTAATCATAAGAACCAGATGGTTCACACACCAAACCTCCCATTTTGGTCATAAGAACTGTCAGGTGTTAATTCATAAATGCAGAATACCCAGATACAACATGGACTAGGTTCCCTCCATGTTGTTGTTGTTTTTAGCTAGGCCCCAGCCTATAGATATGGCATAAGAGCATGCTGGTACTGATATACTGAACTTTAAAGTAATGTTATACCGTGAGTGTGTGTGTTGAGCTCTTATGATGTGACTCATGTGAATTATACTGTATTTGTCCAAAAAGTCTTATTTGCATTAAAAGATTTCTGGAACATTACCAGTATAAATCCATTGTGTGAGAAGGATAAATTGCTAAATAATTCAGTGTACTGTAAAATAAGGTGCTAGATTTGCATGTCTCCTTAATGACAGTTCAGTTGCTCTGAACTAATAATTACTGACAATCATATATGTTATTTTCTGCTTTTAGATTTTTTTCCTACAGTATGAGGACTGTATTTCTACAAGATTATGTTGTTAAACTGATATAGACATCCAGGTTAAAAATGAAATAATTCCGTCTAACACTAATGTCTGCACCTCGTCTCTGAGCCCCAGAATAATTGCCATGAATAGTCACAAAGTAGATGAGGCTCAAG